GAAGGATCGCGGTTCTCAGCTGGGCTTGCTCGCCTGTGTCCAGGAGACAGGCGGCCAGGGGACCATGCCCTCGCAGGAACAAGGCAGGGGTTTTGCGACCAGAAGGCCCGAGTGCACGCCAGGTTCCGAGGCCCGCAGGTGCACGATGAAACTGCCAGGCGGCCTCTCCCGGCCGGGTCCCTGCATCCGTGCAGGCAGGTCACTCCACAGATCCCTGCCGAGCGGCACTGCCAGGTTGGACAGCAGGGAATGGCGAGAGGCCCCTCCAGCTCCAGAGAAGCTGGCAAGCCAGAGGAGACAGGACGGGGACCCCCAGACGGGGCCTGAGCGCCCAGGATGTCACGCTGGGCTTTACTCCCCATCCCCTAGCTGTGTGAGCCCGCGGCAGCCTGAGCACCGAGCAGCAGAGCAGGTCCAGCCTGCAGCGTGGGCTGGACAAGACATGGCCTCCTTCCTGCCGTCACCATGACACTTCCCGCCAACCCTCCCGTCCTCCTGATGCAGCGAGAGCAGGGTTGTCCTGGGAAACGCAGAAGTCCTTACAGTGATAAAACCTCCCTCGAGACTTGGGTGGGTGGGAGGGGGTGGTCCTGCCATCGGAGGGACCAAGGATTACCCCAGGAGGGGGTCAGAGAAAGCCCTCCCACCCCCAGGAAGGGCCTATGAAATGCAGTCAGGCCCCCCGGGCACCACAACGAGGGTCCCCAGCAGCTCCCCTGGCCACACTCCCTCCAGGGCACTGCCACAGGCCCGCACAGCTGGCTCTGGTCAGCCCACGGCCCTGCCGGCCCAGAGCCTGAGCCCTGGAGGCTCCTAGTCGAGGCCTGTCACTTCCCACGTTCCTGTGTCTCCCCCGGGACAGTGAGAGCCTGCAGCCATCTCCAGGAGGCCAGTGGAGGCCCGGCCAAGCAGAGTGGGAGTAAGAGAGAAGCACTTGTCCGGCTGCTTCCCAGGGCGGAGACAGGCCTGGAGCCCCTGGCCACAGCAGAAGCGGGGGTGGGGGGCGGGCAGGCAAGGCCTACAGAGAGGCCACTTCGTGCCCACACCACCTCAAGCACACATGCCTCACAGCAGGTCCCCTTTGTGTCCCCCAGGGGCCGGGGGGTCCGCAGAACCACCTGCTCAGTGCAGACGCCCGAGCTGGGCCCACGGGGGCTGGGATGCAGGGACACTGTCACTGTCTCCAGGCCTCGAGCCCCTACGGGTTTCTCTCAGACACCCCAGCTCTGCCTGGCCACCCCACAGCCAAGGAGGAACCAAGAAGCTGGGGTGGGCATGCCCAGCACCCCCAGGAAAGAGCCAGGTGTTCTCGCGTTGGGCTGAGAAGGACTTCCACCGGAGGAAGCCCGCTCCCTGCACAACCCCCCACCTGGCAGCCCCCACTGCCCCTTCTCCAGAGCCTCCCTTATCTCTGGAAGGAGGGGGGTCAAAGCAGTGGGAACCGTGGATCACCCGCAGTGGGAAAGTGGGCCTGCGGGCCTCACGTCCCCCCCGGGGAGACAGCCTGATTCTCTCCAAAGAGCAGCCTCCATCTCCCCTGGGAGTGGGACGGAGACCTCCCCCCAGTGGTTACGATGTCACTGTGGTCTTCAGGCCACACCATCTGGCCTAGTGTGAAGCTGGCCGCATCTTCCAGATGGGGCGCTCCAGACCAAGTACCCAACTGCCAGCAGTGGGGTGGGGCGGGGGCTGCCAGAGGGTCTTGGAACCCCCTACCCTGGCCTCGGTGTAGTCTCCCCAACCCCAGGGCCTGGTCCCTGAGGACCTTGGTCAAGAAGCAAGTGCCCCGAGGCCAGGTGGAGGACGGGTCCAGCGCAGGTTGGGACAGCTCTTCTCTCCACGTCGCCACCGCCCCCCCCTCCGGAAGCTGGACTGGGGCTGGGTGCCTGCACGGATGCTGGGCCAGGGGTCTCAAGACATTCCCCAGTCCTCTGCAGTTCCCGGAGAGGCAAGAGTCTTTTTAGTCCCACTTTCTGGATAAAGAGACTGAGGTTCAGAGTAGTCACCCAAGGTACTAAGCTGAGGCTCATCGTGGGCCTCGCGGACACCAAAGCCTGGCACTGGGATGGCCTTCCCAGAGGGCCTACGTGGAGAGCGGGGCAGTCCTGGACAGGAGCTCGGGGCCCCCGGGCTGCCAGGGCATGAGTTTTATGGGGGAGCCTGCGTTTCTCCCCAGGGCCTGCCACCTCCCTAAACCCACCACCCACAGGTCTGGGGGCTGACACATGCCAGAGACGGCATCCCGGGAAGCGAGAGACGCGGCAGCAGGCATGCAGCTTCACCTCGGAGATGTGCAGCTCTGGCCTCCCGGCCTCCTGGAGCTCATGGTTCCTGCTCCAGGATGGTGTCCCAGAACGTGACAAGCACACGGGCCTGGCCATGCTCCCAGAGCACGGGCCAGGGCGCCCTCCAGCCAGGCTCCCGTGCCAGCGCTAGGGTTTTATAGTGTCCATTCATCACTCTGAGCGGTTTCTGGGCTCACCCCACCATCAACTCGGGGCGCACCACCCTACGTGTGAGCGAACAGAGCCGTCCTGCCCTCAGAGGTAACATCTTGATTTCCCGCTGGCTCTGCTCACTCATGGCCGCAGGCCGCCCCAGCAGTCCTGTTTGCTGGCCAGAGCTGCAGTTTCAGGGGGGCTGGGCTGGGCTGGCAGGGGGACAGAAAAAACACAGCAGGCGCTTGGCTCTCGGCTGCCGGCCGCGCGGTGACTCGGGGCCCCAGCCATCCCAAACACGCAGGGCTAGGGGTCTGCAAACTCCCAGGGGCCGAGGCCAGGCAGAGGCCTGGGTGGGGAAGAAAGGGCCAGGACTGCGGGACGCAGGGTCTGAGGCCGGTCCCCCCAGGCTGCCCTCCCTCCTGGTCATTTTGTCCACAGTGCCGCCCTCGGACAGGTCTGCCAGATGGCGGCAGCCTGGCCTGCCCTTCGGGACCCAGTGGATTAAGGGATTCCAAAGCTTCCCAAAGGAACTTGGAGAGGTTGCATCTGCAGGCCCTGTACCGTGCGGACTCTGTGCAGGGCTCTGGCCAGTGGCTGGAATGCAGACTTATCTTCCAGGACCTGCAGACGCATCACGGGGCACGCCCGGCCCCCGGGCCCCAGGTCAGCACTGGGAGCCCAGGGCACAGGTCAGAAGACCCCCAGCTCTGGAGCAGCCCCAGCACCTTTCCCAGGGTCTCCTGGACGCGGACAAGGGGTTGGGGCTGCTTGCCCAGCTCTAGGGCCCGAGGACCAGAAGGGACAGGATGGGAAGCCCAAGGTCCAGCCCCAATCTGGGAGGCCCCTGAGCTAGAAAGCCCCTCACGGTGGGGACCGTGATTCCATCTCAAACTGCACAAGCCAGCTTCCCGAGGTGGGAGACCCCAATGCAGAAGCCGAGGCCCAGACGGGCCAGGCCCGCCGAGGTTGGGCAGCGTGCCAGCAGCGGATGGGGGCTCAGACCAGGATCCTCCGTGGGGGCCTGGGGGGGAAGCCTGGGAGAACTGCAGTGGAAGAAGTGTGCGTTTTGCGTGTGGGCATCCTTGGGGCGCACAGAGGCCAGGGAGGCTGGCAGGGGAGCTGACGCCCATGGGCCTCTGCCCTGGGCCTGGCACGCTCTGGGCCCCTCCGTTTGTTCACTCCACCACACGTGCTCGCCGCTTAGAGGGGATGCACAGGCTCTCGGTGGAGGGATTGGTCCAGCCGCTTCCCTGAAGGACTGCCAGGTGCTCCCAGGTGGGAAAAGGCACACACCGTCTCCAAACCCCCGGGACTCTCCTCATTGGCACCAAACCTCCAGCCCTGTGTTTCTACAATGTCGGGGGCTGCTGGACATCTGGACTTGGTGTGAGTGGGGTGGGGGCTCAGGCAGGAGGGCAAGTGTCAGCAGCAGGGCCACCCTCCTCACCCCGGCCTGGGGCGGGGGGCGCTCCTCTCTGCCCCAACTCCCCCTGCACTCCGTGCGTCCTGGGGTGGGGGCGGAGGCCCCATGGCTTCTGTCATCCCAAAGGGCCCATTTCACAGAAGGCGAAACCGAGGCCAAAGCCAGGACTTGGGGGGGTGATGTGGAGATACCAGGCTAACCTTCTCACCCGCCCTCCCCATCAGGCACAGGACCCCCGGCCCTGCTCCCCTCCCTCCAGCCTCCTTCTGGCCATGAAGACGCTGGAAAGGAGACACCCCGTGTTTGCAGAGCACTCCACCAGGGCAGACTCCCGCACCCCCAGACCCCAGCCCAGCAGGCTGGGCCCCGCCCGGCCCTCTGAAGGACGGCTCCCCGCTGGCTCTTCTCTGCAATGAATTCTGGGACACAGAGACGGGGGCAACCGTCCAATATGGGGCAAGGGGACCAATGCCGCTGGCCCGAGGGACACGCACTCAGAGGGGCCCACGCTGCCAGAGTCAGCCCTGGGGTCAGGGGTCAGGTGGGGGCTGCAGCAGACAAAAGAATGTAAGGGGGCACCGGGGGGCAGCCTGGGCCTCCCGCCCCTGCCTTCCCCCTGCCTCAACCCTAATCCGGCCCCCTCCTTCCCCACCCCCAGAGGAATCTTCTCTCTGCTCTTGATTTGGCTGACAGCCTGCCAGTGACCACGGGGCCGAGGGAGAGAGTATGCCCGGGGCTGGAGAACACCTCCGGCCCAGGCCTCAGCAAGCCCTAGTCGGGGCTCCGTGCCCACCAGTGCCGCATGCATGCCCAGGTACCCGGCCCACCCTCCCCCCCCACTGCCTGTGCTTGGTCCAGCCGGCCACCCACCTACCCTCTGGGGCTGCATCTCCCCCAGCACAGCCCCCAGAGGCCCCCACCCACATCAGGTTCTCTGAGTCACCCGGGGCTCATTTTCGGAGACACGTGGATGCCCTAACGGCATGACGAGTGGGTTGGGCAGAGAGGACCCCATCACTGGGGAACCAGCGGGGGCGGCCCTGGGGGCTGAGGAGGAGGCGCCCCTGGGACAGCCGGGGCGGGGATGCGAGGCTGAGGCCGGGCCCTGGCGGCGGTGGGCTGCGCCCGGGGCCCACCTTGGCAGGTCCTGCCGTCTGGTGGCCGGGGGGCAGCGGCAGGAGAAGCCCCCCATGGTCCTCACAGCCCCCGTTCCCACTGCCACACTCATCCACGTCTGGGGTGGGGGGACACTGGTGAGCGGTGGGGACCTCCCTCCCACCCAGCCACGGCCCTCCCCAGACCCGAGAGGCCTCGAAAGGGCACACACCAGCAGAGAGGGGCAGACAGGCCCCACGAGAGGGGGACACCCGATGGGTCCACCCAGCAGCAAGGGAGGCGCGCGTACCTGGGTCTCTCCGCACACCCAGGACAAGCAGCCTGTCCTACGGCATTCTAGAGTGATTTTTCAGGACGGCCATGCAGGCACTGCTTGGCCCAGGAGTGGGCCCTGCTCCCCCAGACAGGAGCCACACCTGCTTTTCTGGGTCCTCACAAGAACGGCCTGTGCACGTGTTCTGGTCCCGTGGTCAGTGTCCCAGGGAAACCAAGCTTCCCCCTGCTTTGAGGCCAGGAGGAACCCTCACAGCTGCCCCCAGACCCGCATCAGTGCCCAGCACAGCCCTGATCCCGGCCCACCAGGGACCTTATGGAGCCAGGGCTGCCAACAGGGAGGGACATGTATGGGGTAACAGCGGGGAGTAGTCTCCTCCACCTCCCAGCACCTCCAACCCCGTGCTGCCCACCTGAGGTCTGAGAGGGGCCCTGCTCTCCTCCTGGCCTCTCAAGGCCAAAGGCCGAGCTCCCCCGGTCTCGTGGGGAATGTGACCCAGAGGCAGGCACAGACCACGCAGAGACCCCGATGTGCCACAGCCCACGGGTGCAGCTACCGAAAGCACCAGGCCCTTCCTGGCCATGCAGGGAGCAGCCCCTCTCCCAGAGGCTCAGCGCTCACACAGCCCCATGCCAGCATTCCCATCAAGGCCAAGCCTCCCCGATGGCTTCACCATCTCTGCACCTGCCTGGGAGGGTCCCTGCAAGACCCCGAGTCGGGCTTAGGCTACAGCCGGCCACAGTCCCACAGGAAAGACTGGGGCCGGAACTCTCCTTGCGAATGCCGGGAGGCAACCATCAGCCCAGGCCTGCAGAGGTTAATGCTGGGAATTTTCTGAGAATTCCTAGAGAATGACGCAGGACAAGACAGAGGTCAGCCCAGCCCAGGGGTCACAGCTGGGGTGCCCAGGGCAGGAGTCAGCGTGGGCCTGGGGAGACGGCACAGCGGCCAGCCCTGCAGACGAGGAGTGGGCCAGGTGGGAGGTGCACAGAGAAGCTCCGGGGCCTGTCCTGACCTTCGGGCCGCTCGGTGGGGCACTCCATCACGGCTGCTGGCACGCAGGGTCCACGGGGGCCCGGGCACCAGCGCCAGCACCCCTCCCAGACCCCACTGGCCGCCCCACACCCACAGAAAGAGGCCTGGGTGCTGGCCTGGCACTCGTGCGGGCCCTGCTCTGTGGCCCCGCCTGGCGCTCTGGACGGCATCCTGGAGTCACCTGGCTGCCCCCGAGCCCCTGGCGGTACGCCCCGGCTCCAGGACCCCCAGGGAGCTCCCCACGCCCTGAAGGGCTGAGCCCCACGGGGCTCTGTGTCAGGCAGGCTGCTCAGCGCCTGTGTCCGCCCACGGCTGGACCGCACCATCCTCAGCACGGGGACAGGACCCCACATGCCGCGGGGGTCCCTGTGTCTGGCCCAGGCCAGCACGCAGGGGGCCACAGGACACCCTCAGCGAACACTGAACTAACATCACACTCCTCAAGAGAAGCAGAAGGGGCAGGTGGCTGGCCCTCCCCAAGGCCCCTCCTCAGGCAACGGCAGCCCAGACTGAGTGGGCGGTGATCCTGACCAGGGCCAGAGAGGGGCAGGGCAGGGTCGGCAGGCTCCCCTCTGCTGAACCCTACTGTGCACGTGGCTGGGGGCCAAGGATACAGACAAGGGACCCCAGCATCCTGGGGAGGGGGAGAGCACGGGAGAGGGAGGGGACGACACAGGGGGAAGGACCCAGGGAGGGATCATTGCCCCTCTTGAGGCCATCTTCTTCAAATTCCAGTGCACCCATGGACAGGGCCAGGGGGCAGCTGTGGCTTCTGTGGGGACCCCAGAGTGGTCAGCAGCCCTGCTGGGGGCAGGATGAAGCCAGCAATGGCCCCTCCCCGGCAAAGCAGCCAGGCCTGGGGCATGGGCTGGGGCCATGGGGCCAGAAGGAGGCGGGCAGCAAAGGGCCCAGAGCCCCTCGCAGCCTGAGAAAGAAAGGTGGCTGCAGAGCTGGAAGGGCTTCTCCCCAACGCTTGCCCCCAGCCTGTCCTCTATCAGGGCTCCAGGTCTGTGCAGGGACACTGGAGCTGCCTGGGGGTTTCTGGATGCAGATCCTGGGAAGTACGGACCCAGGCCCACATACTTCACAAACCTCACTGGTTGGCTGCTTGCAGAGTGACCCCTCAGTCCACCAGCAACCCCAGCGTGGGATGCCCTGGAGCCAAATTCCAGCAGAAGAGGGGCTGCAGCCCGCACTCCTCTCTGCACCCCCACACCCCGCTCAGCTCGGGCCTGTCATGCGTGGACCGGAGTTTCACTTGGGCGGGTCTCCCTGCCCTTCCCGCTCATGAAGCCAGTCTGGGGGTGCATCTCGCAACCCGGTGGGCCAGGTGCCACATGGGGCCCTCCATCCAGCGTGTCTCAGGGGCAGCCTGAGCCCAGGCAGGGTCGGGAGGGCATAGGCCAGGTCCCGGCCCTGCTCTGAGCCTGCTCGGAGACAATCCCTCACCCGGAGCCAAGGCCCGTCTGGATGCCGGCAGAGAGCATCGCAAGCACTCGTGAAGCATGCATCCCCAAACCCTGGCCTCTTACACAAGCAGTGCAGAGTGCCCCCAACCCACAGGCAGGCGTGGCAGCCCTTCCACAGGCCCCAGCATCCATCCAGGGACACTGGGCTTCCTTCCGGTGCTGGGAGTCACTGTCCCCATCTTCCGGAGGGAGGCTGCCTCTGGCCCTCAAGCCAGGCCCCCGGTGAGCATGTGATACAGACACTAACTCAGAAAGGCTGGCCTGCCCTCGCTCCTGCTCACCAAGCCCCTCCCCAGGGACCCCTGCCCTCCCCGAAGCTGCCGGTGGTGGCAGAAGAAACGGGAAGCAGGAGGCCAGGCTGCAGGACGGGGAGGATGCCCTGCCCCCAGCCCTCTCCACCCTGGGAAGACCCTTCCACCAGCAGAAAACTGCCCCCACTGCAAGTGAAACAGAGAGTCGGCAAAGGACCCAGCAATTCCACTCGGGCGCACGTGCCCAGAAGACTCGAAAACAGGGCTCATACGGAAAAGAAAGCGGCTGGGTGGTCGTCGGGGGCTGGTGGACCAACAGGCGCAGGGTCTCCTTAGGGGCGACGAGCATGTTTGGGCGCTAGGTAGGGGTGACAGGTGCTCGAGAGTGTGAATGCGCTAAATGCCACTGTGTTGTTCACTTTACATGATGTGAGTTTCACTTCAATTTAAAAAAAAAAAAGCAGAATAAAGCCCTCCTCCAGCTGGATCCCACACCAGATGGGTTGGTGTGCAAGGAAGGAGGTCCGGGGCGGCCATCCCGCCTGGCAAGGCCTCCGAAGACCCTGTCCTTTCAGCTGACCGGTGACCAGGTGCTGCACAGTGAGGAGCCCTCAGCACGCTGCCCCTTTGCCAACCCCCACGCCCAGTGTGCCCCCCCCACCTGCTGCCCATCCGCCAGCAGCCTGGGTACAGCGATGGGCTCTCAGGCCGACTGTGAGGTCCAGCCTGGCCTGGCCTGGGTGGCCGCTTGTGGACCACAGAACCCCAGGCAGGAAGTAGGTGACAGAAGGCACATGGCTCCAGGCTCCCAGAGCCAGGCCTGCCCGGCCCACACAGGGCAGGGGTCCCATGAACTCGAGCCTCCCAGACCCAGCTGGGACCCGGGCTGTCGCCGGCTGGCTCTGAGCTGGAGGAGCCCGCCCGAGACAGGAGACACTGCCCCCAGCCCTCCCCCCGCAGGACAGGACACGGCCTCGGAGCCACGCCTTCCTGCAGGACAGGCCCCCAGTCGCTCCAGGCAAGCAGGGCAGGGCAGTGGCCACACACCAGCTGGGAAACCACCACGTGGGGCACCCGCTGAGGCCCCAGGCCTTTACATTCTTCACTGCCTTCCAATCCGCAAAGGAGGCAGGACCCTGAGGGGCAGCCCCCCGATGGTGGAGGGCAGCACATGTGTCCGCCCAGACGGGCCGGGCTCCCAGCTGGGCGTTTCTGTACTCTGTCCAGCCAAGCCCCGACGGCACCCTGGGGGCCCTCACTGCCCCCCAGACAGACCCAGCTGCCCCCGCAGCCCTGGTCTAGGGCGGCAGGAACAGTGAGAAGGCACAGCCGCTCTCCGAGGGTAAGGGGCAGCACCCCAGGCCCCCAGCCTGACCATCAGGGCCCCAAAGCCAGGCTGCCCTCCCCTGCCCGGTGGCCCTGCACCCCCGACCCTGCTCATCCTCTCCCCTCTTACTCCCACCCCCAGCCTGAGACCCATGCGAGGCCAGAGGACTTTCCTGCCTGGGACCCAAGCCTCTCCCCTCTCCCCGGCCCTGCCAGGCTGCTCTGGGTGACCTGGTCACCCCCAGAACCACATCGGGGGCCCCCACATTTTTTCTGGCTGGTGGAGGGGGCACAGCTCCTCTGCCCTGTGTCCCCCAAGCATGGCCAGTCCCTCCCAGCCCCTGGGAGTCTGTAGAAAGCAGCAGAGGGGGGAGGACACAGGGGACCCCCACCCTGTCTGGAGGAAGAGGAGCCCATGAGGATGGGGGGGCTCGCTCTGCAGCATGAAGGCCAAGACCGCCCAGAAGAAGGCCACTGAAGCTTAGTGGGGGGGGGCGGGGGGGAGAGATGGCTGGGCCTTAAGTCTGCGGGACAGTTAGCCCTCATCCCGCCAGCCCACCCAGACCTCAGGCTACCTGTGAGCAGGCAGGATTTATGAGGCCCTGCCTGCCAAGGAGCCCCAGAACCCTCCCCCCCTGCAGCCAGGTGTCACGCAGACAGGCCAGGGCTGCTCCCATCTCTCCCGGGAGGGCTGATGAAAGCCAGCTGGACCAGAGTCGGCCGCACAAGGCTCAGGAGCGGCAGGTATGGGGGGCTGGTCTCATGCGTATACTTCCCAAAGGGCCCTGCATTCAGGGGGCCTGGAAAGGGACCTTCCTGGGGAGGGATGGGGAGCCTCTCATCCCCTGGGCCCCGCTGAAGGACAGAGGTTCACTGTCTGGGAAGGGGGGCTCCCGGGAGCATCCTACAGCCAGCATCCCAGATGGAACCAACACGGGGAACCCCCTCTCTGGGCAGGATGCACGGCTGGGGCCTGCCTTGCCTGTCTCCCCAGGAATGTTCCACCCCCAGAGCCCAGCTGCCCCCTTCCCTCAGGGGAGATGGGACAGTTGGGGCTCCCTGTGTGAGCTTGCTCTGCGGGGCCCTGTGCCTGTTCCGGGCCGGAATGGGTTTGGGCCTGCCACAGGAGCCCACTCAGGGTGGGGCTGAGCAGAGGCACCCCGCCCCACCCCAAGGGACCGCCCCTTTCCCATGCACCCTACTGCATGTCTTGGGCAGGGGTTCTGGCCCCCAAGACACGCTATACAAGGCCCCTGTGGGGGCGGCGGGGTGGCTCAGTTGGTTAAGCGTCTGCCTTCTGCTCAGGTCATGATCCCAGGGTCCTGGGATCGAGCCCCGCATCGGGCTTCCTGCTCAGCGGGGGGCCTGCTTCTCCCCCCTCCCTCTGCTTCTCCCCCTGCTCATATTCTCTCTTTCTCTCTGTATCTCTGTGTCTTGAATGAATAAATTAAAAAAAAAAAACAAGGCCCCTGTGGGGGCTCCAAACCAGCCGTAGGGGCATTAGGGCCCAGCGCAGGTCAGGTCACCAGGCCCCTGGCTCTGTCAGGGCAAAGCTGCAGAAGGGACTTGGTTTTGACCCAGGAGAGAGGGAAATTCACCTAGAGTCAGGCAAGGGGGCCCGGGGGGGTCCTAGCTGCAGCCAAAGGCGGTGTCCTGAGACTGCAGGGACAAAGGACCACAGCTGGGGAGCTTGACCAACAGAAATGTATTGTCTCCCACAGTCCTGGAGGCCAGAGGTTCAGAATCAGTGTCCCTGGGCTGAAACCAATGTGTGGGCAGGGCCTCGCTCCCTCCTGAGGCTCCAAGGCAAACTTCCTGTGCCCTTCGCAGGAGCCAGTGTTCCTTGGCTTATGGGCACTGCTGCACCCACCTCTGCACCCAGCCTCCTCCGGAATTCCGGAGGGAGCTCCTCCTAGCTCTGGGGCATTTCCCACCAGAGCCCCACGCTCAGACGCCCGAGGC